TTTTTCCCTTTAGTAGGGATACTAATGGTTTGATTAAACACTAGCCATTGCGATTCAGCCAAACTGCACAACTGTAACTACACTTGAAGAACTGTTCTTTTTTTTTTTGTCAGTTTTTTTAACACCCCCTCACAGCAGCACAGCATACACTGGGGGCAGCTCACCATAAAACTATGAGAATTTTAGAGTGACATAAATCTGACAACCTGGATTTCTAGGGTGAAAATGGTTGGTATTTGACCTCGAAACCGGCTATAATGGACCATGTGTGGACGTCGGTGTATTTTTGCGATAGAATTTAAAGTTTATGTACCAAAATGAAATAATGTTGAAAGTTTGTATACCATTCGTGAAATTGAGTAATAAAATAATAAAAATAGGCAAAAAAATGCGGCTAAAGTTTGATGATATAAATAGTAAACAGACAACTTAAGTAGTATGGATGAAGTATTTCTTTATACAATTTAATCTATCATTTGTCAAAATAACATAGCAATGATAAATATAAATTTTTAGATTTTATACCAATATTTAAATAAAATGAAGTAAAAAATAACATCAGTCAAGCACAATTAATTAAGTTGTTAACGGTGGATTAGCAGAAATGGCTTGTTTTGCACAACAAAATGAAAGTTGAGATTATTTTTTATGAATTTTTATTTTTTTAATTTTTTTTTGAAATTTTTGTTTAAATTTTTAAAATTGCTTTCTACCTCCATCATTTCTTTTTTTAAAATTACTTTTAAAAAATAAAAGTATTAGATATAAAAAATAGCAAAAATGAGAAAAGTAACTAAAACGATACAAAACTAATAAAATAAATAAGGTAATCAATAGAGACTAATTTGAAATTGGTAAGAAATAAAATAAAAATCTTCGGAGTGGTAGGTTTTAATATTTTACGCACTATACAAAGTATCAACGTATTACTTCTTATTTTTTTAGAAAAAATTATCTAGAATAATTCCAACTTTACCGGACAACCTGTTCTTTTAAAAATAAGTAGTACATTAAGACTCCATATAGTGCATAAAATGTTAAAACCCGTCACTCTGTATATATTTATTTTATTTCTTACAAGTTTCACTTTAATTTCTATTGATTACATTATTTATTTCATTAATTGTGTATGGTTTTAATTATTTTTCTCATTTTCATTATTTTTTATAAATATGTCTTTTATTTTTTTAAGGTAAGAATAACCTTTAAAAAAAGAAAAAGAAATGAAGGTAGAAAGTAATGTAAAAATTTAAATGAAAATTTCAAAAAAATTAAGAAACAAAAATTCATCAAAAGTAGTTCTAACTTTCATTTTGTTGCGCAAAACATGTATTTCTGTTAATTCGCCCTTAGAAACTTAACGACGATCCAAAACTCACAAATTTCTATAAAGTTGAGATTATTATGCATTACAGTGAAATGTGATTATTTTTGAAAGGGTAAATAAAGTTGAGATTATTTTAGATAATTTTTCCTTAAATTTTTGGTTTATTTATATTCCATTTCCGTTTAATTTAGCTAGTTCCATCATTTATATTTTCCTTGATCATTCACTCCGAAAAAATATTCTAAAAAGTTACTAACCGAAAATATTAAAAAATCTTTAACTATAATATTTGAGACTCAATACCCTAAAATTTCAACATGTGGATAGTCTACTTGGCAATATTTTTGATAACTCAATCGTCCACCTATGTTACAGAGTAATGACTTGGCAATTCTACTTTAGCTTTTAAATATGAAAATGTGGTGTAGACCTACTTTATGAAACAAAATTCCATATCATAATTACATTAAAAAAATTTACATAATCTTCATTTGTGAAAAAATGTTTATAATAAATAATAAATTTAAATATTAAAATAAATCTTAAATTCAAAAAAAAATTAAACAATGAAATATAATCATTCTAAAGATAAATTACCCTTTGTCAGCAAATGCACCCTTTGTCAGCAAATGCACCAATAAACTTATTACGGAATACATCTTAATCTAGAATTACATATCAAATACAAAATTCTTAGAAACTGAAATATAAACATTTCCTCAAAAAATATAATCATTTTAAAATCAAACTCCTCTATGTTGGGCTACCGATCCATTTTACTACGGACTACTTTATTGAATAATTTGTAATTCAAATTTTGATTTCTAATTATTTTTATATTATTGGGATACAAATGTTCTAAATAAAAGAAGTAGTAGTGATGTAAAGAAAATAAAGTTATAAAAAGTATATTTTTTATAGTTGAAAAAAAAGTTGGATGTTGTAAAAGCTTATAAAAGTTTAAAAATTGAAAAGAACTAAAATAAAGTGGAAAAAAGTTGAAGAAACGGAAAAAATTGAAATGAACATAGAAAACTCGAAGAAACTGCTAAAACTAAAAGAACCAAAAGAAACTAAAAGAACTAAAAAACTCAACGAATCTTTAATTAATTATTCATATTATTACTATTCTTATTGTACTGAAATTATGTTGATGATGATTATTATTATAGTTATTACTACTACTACTACTACTTTTTAGTTTAGAGAAATTTACTTAAATAGCACTAAAACATAATGACTTTCCTAAATGGCACCACATGTGTTTTTCTTCCCAATATAGCACTTTTAGTCATTATGCATTAGTCATTATTCAAGTAAATATTCACCATCACAGGACATAATGGACATTATTAAGTGCTATTTAGGGAATAAAATAATTTAAGTGCTATTTAGGGAAATGACTTAAGTTTTAGTGCTATTTAGTGCAAATATGAATTTACTTAAATAACACTAAAACATAATGACTTTCTCTAAATAGCACTACATGTGTTTTTCTTCCCAATGTAGCACTTTTAGTCATTATGCAATAGTCATTATTCAAGCAAATATTCACCATCACTGGACATTATGGACATTATTAAGTGTTATTTAGGAAATAAAACAATTTATGTGCTATTTAGGGAAATGAGTTAAGTTTAAGTGCTATTTAGTGCAAATATTTCTTAAAATATTGATAATTTCCCATATCAATTTATACTAATAAAAATAACTCTTTTATTCATAATTTTTAGAACATACTTTTAGTGTCATATAAATTACTCGAGTAATAAACAAAAATATTGTATTATTTCTATTAAAAAGCTAAAGAAAAAATAATAATGAGTGAGAATCACATACATAGTGACATGTGAAAAAATTAGAAATAGAAAAATTAAAAGGATATATAAACTATAGTTATGAATATAATAATAATACTCTTCGGACATTTATTTAATTTAATATAATGATTTATTTTAGATAATAATGAGTGTGAATAACATACATAGTGACATTGGAAAAAATAAAAAAAGAAAAATTGAAATAATTTATAAATTATAGCTATGAATATAATAATAATACTCTCGAGACATCTATTTAATTTAATATAATAATCTATTTTAGATAATAATAATAATAATAATCACATTAAAAATATATCATTTTTAGAGTCATTGTTTGTTAAATATAAAAAGTTTGAAGAAAATGGAGATAGTTGGAAAAAATTTGAAGAAAATGAAAAAATTATATTGGAAAGTACTGAAAAAATTGGAAACAACTCGAAAAACAAGAAGAAATTGGAAAATATTAATGGAAATATAATTCATTAATGGGAAAAAATATGTTTAACTACCTCTACGCTATATCTCATACTCGGATTACCAGAGCTTGACACATGGAATGCCTACGTGGATTTTTTTTGACACGCCAAGGATGACTGTATGCATTAATTGAATCTAAAATAATTCAAAAAAAAAGTTTTCATATATGGTACCTTTTGAATAATCATTGACCATTTTAAGCAAATATTTTATATTTCATTTATTTGACTATCTTAACCTCTTTTTACTTCTTTAATATGTTCGCTATTATTGTCACATATCATATTCGAAATTGTTTTTGTGACCCATATCAATTCAAATTTCTTTATTTTTTTAAAATTAAATGACATAACACAAGAAACAAATACGGAGCCCATGACATGTTTTAAATATTTATTGATCATTTTTAGCAAATAGTTTATTATAATCTTTAGAAGTTGATGTTTAAATATTTGATTAGTTTAAAACAATATATTTGATATTAGAAAAATATTATGGACTTTTGAATTCAATGAAATTTAAGTAAATGAATGAAATTAAAAATATAACTTTTCAATAAAAATTAAGTGAACTATTCATAACAAAAGACACTAACAATGATATAAAAGTTTTTTAAGTAAAATATGAAATGTTTTTAAAACTATTTATTTATTCTTTTTATGATAATTTATTTAGCTAAAATATGGTTGCGTTTGCCCACGCAGAAGCCGGGGGACATCCTGCAGCCTTTGCCCATTCCCGACCAGGTGTGGGAAACGGCGTCCTTGAATTTCGTGACGGGACTCCCTCCATATAAAGGGTTCAACGCCATTTTGGTAGTGGTCGATCGTCTGAGCAAATATGTCCACTTCGGGCCATTAACCGCTGAGTTTGATGCTCCACACGTGGCGCGTCCTTTTGTTGACATCGTAGTGAAGCATCACGGGTTTCCCCGGTCCTTGGTATCCGACCGTGACCCGATCTTTATGAGCACCTTTTGGAAGGAATTGATGCGTTTGAGCGGGACATCCCTCAAGTATTCGACCGCCTATCATCCGCAGATCGATGGTCAAATAAAAGTTCTCAACTGTCACCTCGAACAATACCTGCGGGCCTTCGTTTCCGAGCGGCCATCAAAATGGGTGGTGTTTCTTCCGTGTGCAGAACTGGCTATTAATTGCACCCATCATGAGGCACTTGGCATATCCCCCTTCCAGGTCATGTACGGCTGGCCCCCGCCATCTCTCTTTCCCACATTATCCTTCCGTGCTCGTGTGCCCGCAGTGGAGGAGCTATTACGAGAGAGGGCTGATCTCCTGGAGGATTTAAAGATACATTTGAAGAAGATATATGCAACAGCGGATGTGCGCCCAAGCTAATCGTCATAGACAGGAGGTTACCTTCAACGTCGGCGACATGGTGCTTCTTCGACTACAGCCCTACCGCCAGCGTTCATTGGCACGCCCGGGATCATCCAAGCTGGCCAAACGCTACTATGGTCTTTTTGAAGTCCTTGACCGGGTGGGTCCTTTCGCTTACCGGCTTCGACTCCCTGAGGCATGCCGCATCCACAATGTTTTTCACGTCTCTCTCCTACGGCCGTACATTCAGCGAGAGGGCAGGCCCATCTTACCCACCTTACCACCGGAATTTGTCAAAGGGACGCCCACTGTCTGTTCCGGTAACAGCATGGGACCGTCGTACGGTGCTTGTCAACGGCACGCCGCGGGAAGAATGGTTAGTCCAATGGTCAGACAGCACGTCGGAAGAGGCTACTTGTGAACCGGACGACGACCTCACCAGTGCCTTTCCGGAGTTGCGCCTTGAGGACAAGGTCGCTGTTAAGCCGGGGGGAGTTGATACTGGTGTGCATGGGGATGAACGGCACGAGTCGCATGGCGACGACCCGAACAAAGATGGGCCGGATGAGATACTGGAAGACAACCCGAACAAGGTTGGGGTTACTAGCAGACCGCGGCGTAATGTTTGGCCGCCCCAACGTTACTGGGATTATATTTAGTTCGTGGTTCTTTTATTTATTGTAACTTAGATTTCCGTAGGTGAGTGTGTTATAAGCTCCTTCGAGGGTTTCTTTTCGGTTATTTACCTCGATGCCTTTTTTGAACCAACATGTTAGTTAAATTAACATTAGGGTTTGAGGATTCATTCTATATAAGGGGAGTTATTCCCTAATGGAAGATATCAACGAATAATACAACTCCTCTCCCTATCTCTCTTGTTTCAAAGCCCTAAACCTCCTCTCCTATTCTCTGTGCTACGTCAGACAAAGCTTCGTGCCTAGCCTCCTTACTGCCGTCTCCTTTACCGAAGGGGTATTGATACCAAGAGTGTATCAAAAACTCCCTCCGTCCCACTCTCTTTATCCACTTTCATTTTTGCACACCATCTAATGCACTTCTTTAATCCATTTTATCTTGTAATTTGTATATTAAAAAATTATAGAAATTATATATTAATAATCTATATGTTAAGACAAATCAAACAAGATCACACATGACTATATTTAGGCTTACACATTGAGAGAATTTGATGAGTCAAAGTGCTTAGATGAACAGTTCCAAAAGTCAAAAGTGGACAAACACTCAGGGACGGACCAAGTATGTAGTATGATTTTTTTGTCATGGAATAAAAAAGTTATAGGTAAAATAAATATTTTGATAAAAAAATATAATGACCCCACTACTACAAAAAAGGTAAAAAAAATGCCTCAATTGTATCACTTATATAAATAACCGATGCAAAATATCAAAGGTATCGGTTGTTTTTTAAAAGCGATGTAATTGATTTTTATTAAATAAATATTGGAAAATAAAAATGGGTATTAGCATCGGTTATTTTGTAATAACCGATGCAATAGATCAATGACATCGGTTATTTAAAACAACCGATGCTACTAACTTTTTTATTTTTTGATTTTTTTTAAATGAACAAATGCATCGGTTGTTGACTAGAACCGATGCTAAAAGGAAATTTTAAATTTTCAAAATTTATAAAAATATAAAGGCATCGTTTGTTTTTTACAACCGATGCTAATACTGTTTTAATTTTTATTTAAGTTTTTAAATAATTTAACAAAGGTATTAGTGTTGTTAACAACCCATGCCAATACTATTATATACTCCGTAATTTTTAATATTAAATCGGAACAAGCAAAGGCATCTGTTCTTTCTCTACGTGATGCTAATGATTTATATTTGGACCATGTTACACTTATACAAAAAATTATAATCCATTTCTACACGCAGTTATACACAAACATTTTGATGGTTTACACCGATATAAGTGTTGGTGCGTTAACAAAAATTTATACGGACACAAACGTTGGTACATTAACAAAAATTAGTTTTACACCAACACAAAATATTGGTACAAACTTACGATGTACTGGGTACAAATAGTTTATCCTTTATATTTAGATCTAAAAAATTTCTCCCTATTGTAAATATCTTTCAGGAAGAACCCATTTGTTTACTAGATTGAACCAGGAATTCGGCGACAGACGCAACTTCGCAGCACCCATCCAGAGATTGAACGAGGAACCTAGGGTTTCCCGCTGCACTTTGAGGCTGTTATCGGCGCTGAAGCCGCTGGTGGTTTCCAGGTTCGCCACCGCCTGAAGTCCAATACCACCGCTGCGCTGAAGTCCCATCGGCGCGGAAGTCCAACGCCACCACCGCCGCGCTGAAGTCCTGGTACGGTCGGACAACACAGTACCGCGACCAGGTATTTTCCTTATTTTCAAGTTATTCTTTGAATTTATATGTGTGAATTTGTACATGTTATTCCCAATTCTTTGAATTTCTATGTGTGAATTTAAATAATGGTTACTTGTTTTGAATGAGATAAAATGAATTCGATCTTTTTAGTCACTTCTTAACTTCTATTTTGAAGTTTTATACAACACCTATGCTAAAGGTACAAAACAACCTATGCCTTTGCCCTTATATGTACTAGTGCCCTCATGTAATAAACTATGAAGAAAACAAGTAGAGAAATGATTTTTTAATACTACTTACTCTATTACAATGTAGAATCTGTTCATACTTTTCTCAACGGAATGACACACAACGAGTCAACCTCTCCGCCTCCAATGTGGCTCGAACCTGGGTAAACTTTCTCTTAAATTTTGGCTAGTGTGCTTCCTACCACTTAACAATGTGACATTAAAAAATGATGTTGTCGAGGAAAATAAGGAGAGAACCATTAGTAATGCTCTTAGGCTATCCATAGTACTCATTCCACTCACTCGAAATATGCAGCCAACTTATCATCACATCAGCGTTGAGCCATTGAGTGCACTCATCTTTTCACTCCCACATAGGCTATGTGGTATGGAGATGAAAAAATGGCTGTGATGGGAGATGATGGAGTGCAAAATATATGATGTGGAATGATGAAAAAATGTGTGGTATGGTGGAAGTGATTGAGTGATAGGTGTAGAGTTGTGTTGATATTTGATTGGTTGAAAAGAAAAAAATAACAAAATAAAATAAAAAGGTTCACCGCCACCACGCCTTCCCGTCACCCACTTTCACCTCACAACACCACGTAGTCTTAACTTACGTAATACTCCACTTGCACTACAATGATTACACAATTAATAATTCCCTTGTTTATATTTCTATTTAAATTAATTTCTCTTTTTTAATTATAATAAAGAATTTACATTTAATATTGTTTATTTTCTCTTTTTTTCTTTGATTTTTTTGTCCAAACTTGTTTTTTGTCTCCTGTTAAACCTTTTTTTTACTTTTTTGTATTAAATCTTGCTTCATATATGACACATTTAAAAACAAAAGTTTTTCTTTTACTTCTTTACAGCAGAACAAAAAAATATAAACTATTTAAATTTAAAAAGAAAAAATACAAGTAAGACATAATTTATATAAAAATACATCTTGTTCCAAAATAATAATAATAATTACCCTTCAATAATAATAATACTCTGTAATAATAATAATAATAATCATCATCATAATAATAATAATAATAATATCAATAATTTAATAAAAAACACAGTTCACTCGATTTGGAGTGTTTGTGCATGCAAAAATATAAGCGAGATATAACATCAAAGTCATATATGCAATATTGGTATCGTTGGATAGATCTTATATATAAAAAATCTGAAAAAAGTATCATTTGTTAAGTAAAGACTTATGTACAAAAGATTATGAAAGAAATGGATTTTGGAGTAGAAAATACAAATAAATGGATTTTAGAATATACTCATAAAATACTCGTAAATAAATAAACTCCATTGGCTTCCATTTCATGAGCACACTCGCGCTCAAACTCCGCAGATTATGGTACAAGCGGATGTGCTTTTCTCTTGGTACCTAATGACAAAAGTTACAATTAAAGATTTTTTTTAAATTAAAAACTACATTGTTTCTGAATGAATACTATGTTGTTTTAGAATAAACATGTTTCCAAATAAACATTATGTGGTTACAAAATGAAAATTATATTGAACATGCTTGGAACGAACACTACATTTGAAAATAGTCTATTGATTCAAAATGAACGTTCTTTTGATTCAAAATGTATATTCTCCGGATATACCTAGCTTAATGTGCACTCAAGTGTATGTTATACATTCTCCTCAGGCTATCTGTAGCGCTCCACCATCGCTTACTCCAAATCAACAGTAACTGAGCGCCACATTAGCGCTAATTGCACTCACCATCTCACTTAATTACTTCACACTCGTCCTCACTTCCACTGCAATGATTACACTTTTATTTTTTATTTAATACTTATCTATTCCTATTTAAATAAATTCTATCTTTTATTAAAGAATAAAAATTATTCTTTTTTCCATTTTTTCCGTTTCACATTTTTTTGGGATTTTTTTTATATTTTTTTATATTTTAGTTTTTTATTTATATAGAATTTGTTTGATTTTTTGTCCTATTTTATTTTTTTAATTTTTTATGCCATTTTATTTTTGTACCGAGCTCAAGGAAAAAAACAAATAATAATACAAAATACTCTATTGTACCACTAAAAATAGGATTATCACTAATTTTATTAAAAAAATCATATAAATACGTTATTAGTATTAAGTAACACTTTACAAAAAAGAAAAAAATAAGTTAGTTTAGTTTCAAAGGAAAAAAATATGATGGCATAATTTAATTTTAAAACGTGTTTTGTTTCAAAAAGTATAGTAATACTCCCTCCGTCCCTCATAGATCTTCCCAATAGCCCTTTTTCTTTGTCCACAATAGATCTTCTCATTTCATTTTTTAACAATTAAAATACCAAAACTACCCCCACTTACTTTATTTATTACACCTCACCCACCTCATTTAATATACTCCACCCATTTTTCATTAAGGGTATTATGGTAAACTTTCACCTTTTTTCAACTTTCCTTAAAAACCACCAAAAGTCAAAATGAGAACATCTTAGGGGGACGGAGGGAGTAAAACGTACTTCATTCAATTAGAAGTATAGTATTTGGATGAAAAATATAATTTAAATATGACATGATTTCAAAGTTATATATTTAGCATTTGTGTTATTGAGTAGATCTTGTGAAATTATTTTCAACGGCATATTATTTGTGAAATATTGACTTATGTATAAAAAGTTATGAATAGAATATGTTTTATAGTTGAAAATTTTAATTAAAAGAAGAAAGCTAAAAGAAAAGAAAGCACTTACCTGCCGTGGGTGTGGCCACCAGCCTCTTCACGCGCATCACTCACGTGAAAGGAGGGGGCGTTCATCTGTAAAGCTTGCTTACATGTGAATATCACGGAGGATCACGCTAAGGATACGGTGACACATTACATATAGCCTCAAACTCACGCGAAAGAGTCAAACTTGAATGGGGTGGTGTGAATCTTCTTTTGCGCTAGCTTGGTGTTGCCATCTCAACTCACGCCTATTTCAGGAGTTGTGCTATTATAGACTTTCTCACATATTTTATATTGTAGACCTTCTTACATACTCCCTCCGTTCCTCAATTTGTGTCCACTTTCTGTTTAGCACAAATACCAAGGATATGAGTAAGAAGTCTCAATTGTCCTTGAATAATTTTCTTGCTCTCATTCGCCCACGCCCAATTTTTCTACCGCCCAACCCATTCTCTCTGTCACCCCGTTCCATTGTTGAGCGCGTTGAAAATCACCCCCATTCCGATGTTGCATGAATTATAATCAACTTCAAAATTAAAAGAAAAAAAAATTATTACCCACAAATATGGGCTTCCAATCGAATTCGAATATTAGCTTTGCTTCAGATCTGAGAATTGCAGGCGAGTACGGATTTGGGTTTCAGCTAATTGCTTCGCCCTTAGTCTTGTGGTTCTGGGTGCGACGGCTCGTGCCCTCGTGGGGGAAGGGCGTGACTCATCACGACTACCAATCATCACACCATTTTGAAGAGACTCAAGAGAGGAAGTATGTAAATCTATCACCTCGAAGAAAAACAAAACACGACCTGTACCATCTGAGGTCTAGAGTTAGGCTGCGCAAAACAAAGAGAATTAAGGGGGTAAATGGAGAAGACGAGAGATGTGAAAGAAGAAATTGAGTAAATGTGGAAGTGGATAGGCAGCTTCACCACGGAGTAAATTAGGGAGGGTAGAATGGTTTTTTTCTTATATTTTTCTTACTTAATAAGGAAAATGGACAAATATTGTAGGACAACCAAAAAAAGAATACTAGACAAATATTGAGGGACGAATGCAGTACTTAATAAGGAAAGTTGATAAATATTGTGGGACAACCAAAAATATTAGTGGATGGAGGGAGTATTTTGTATATGTTTATAGTTGATTTTTTATTCCAAGACAACACATAAAACTATTTCATTTATTAAGATTCATATAACAACACTAAGGATCACATAATCAAAAAATTAAATCAAGGGAAAAAAATAGGAGTAAACATTAAAAATATACCAAAGTAGAAATTTTATATTTTTATTTCCGAAATATAAGTTAAAATGCATTTATTGTGTCAATCATGATCATATACTTTACTAAAAAAGTATTGTGAAATATCTATATAGAGTGCCACATTAATACAATGTCAACTCCTACTTTGGGAATAAAAATGTGAAGCTCATATTTTGGTATTGTCTCTTTGTTTTACTCATATTTATGGTGATTTCTTTCAAATCAAACTATCAATTACTCCCTCCGTCCCATAAATATTTGATTACAAATTAGGATTTACGAGGCAAAATCTCTTATCTTTTGAAATCATTTTATTTACAAATTGGTATATCGATAAAAAATTACATATTAAAAAACTACGTCAAAAGTTCTACAAAAAAAGGTGAAAATAATATTTTATTTTATCAAATAATTAATAAAAACATATAAATAAACAAAAGTTATCGAGATGAGTAAGAAATTTTTTTAACAAAAATTGGGACGGAGGTTCTCAATTATAGGGATTACTTAGTAATTGTGACCAGAATATTTTTTTAGTGGGGTTTTCGATTTTCGCATCTCCCTAAATGACCCCAAAACCTGATCAGTCATTCCCTACTTGAGCTATACAATCTGTACATTCATTCATAGTTTTTTTTCCTAAGATTCAAATCTCTACAAATCCTATTCTTCTTCAAATACAAAACGTTTGAAGCTGCTACTGTTTTAAAATAAATCATGCTAAACTTTCCCAACCAAAACTGGTAGAGTGATAAATATGCTCGGGTTGGGGGACGGTATGAATAATTTTTAGTTGGATTTTACATAGTTTGAGGTGGTTGTTTATTTTTTACATTTTACGATGTACCCAGGTTTTATAAATTCGTAAATAACCCACTCATTGTCATCTCTATTTCCTAAGTGAACACACATTTTAGCCCCTTAAACAATCACTTCAGTATCGTAATTCTTTTAGCTAGTTTTTGCACACAATGAAATTTATGGACAGTAATGGAATTACGAATTTAGCTACTAGTAGTTTTAGTTAGATGGAATGGTGGATGCATTTTCTAAATTTATATGATGTATACATTTTGTTACTTTTTGTTTGGAGTGTAAATGGTGTTAATAAGTTAACATTTCTAAATTGATTATCATCGTGTAAAGTTGTTAACTGTTAACTACACGCATATATTATTATATTATTAAGCTGTTTAAAAGTCATTTATTTTCATTTTTGATATTCTAACTAGTTGACTCTATGTTTCAACTTCATGTTTAAAATAATGAATTATCTGTCACTAACATGTCACCTGCTAAGAATCTGTTAACATGAATTGGCAGGTCTACTCAAAATCGTCGTGTAGAAACTGAACTTTGGTTATCAGTAGATTGTGTTAGCGGTGATGATGCATCACATGATCCTTGGACAATTGCGAGGAGCTGCACAGAAACTTCTATGGCAACCCAAGGCGCTTTTAACCACGACTAGGAATTACATTTCTGTAATGCGAAGAGAAGCATTTGAGGGAAACCTAACTAGATTACTCCGGAATGAGATCCAATACGAAATTGACAGGTCCCCTCCGTCCAAGGTACTTTATTTTGTTTCTCCCAAGACCTCATTCAATTTATCAGGTTAAGTGTTATCTTTTAAGTTCAGTTTTTTAGATCATGTGTTAACTGCCAAGAACTTACTTTCTCACAGAATGACAGAAGAATGACATTTCTTTATAACCTTCATGACTTTCTTTCTGTTCATATAAGTTTTGTAATCTGCAGTAGTCATGAAGTACAACACTCATTTTATTACTGACAAAGGGGTAAATTTTGATGAACCGTAACTTTTGTATCTCTTTCACACAAACACAGTGAGGACATTCCTAGATGGGACCCGGGGGAGAGGGAGTCTAAGAATGCGGCTGTAGGGTAATTTTACTTGGGACTCACATTATAGGAGGGAGCTAGGTGTGAGTTGCAATAACTCATCCTTTCTTTATTCCTTTTATAGCTATCTTCGTTTGCGGTTAGTCTTGTATATTTGATTTTTCTAACATGTTTTTATGTTTTCTTGAGCCTATGGTCTTCCAGAAAAAAAGCTCTGTACTTTTTTAGGAAAGGGTAAAGTCTCCCTTTCCAGACCCACATGCGGGTTGTGCAATTGTTTGTTTTCGTGTTCTTGTTGTGTGTGTGTGTGTGTGTGCGCGCGCCTGATTTAGAATACTTCAAATACCTGTTACTCTGTTAGTAGCGTAGCCGCTTTAGCGTAGTATTTCAACTCTAGGAAATGATTTAGAAAATATATTTTGGGTAATTAAACAAAAGTAAGTCTCATTTTCACATTCCTTGCATAGTTTTATCTACACCTTATAAATATTGCCTTCCTTTCATTTACTGTGGTGTAAAACTGCAGCCTGTCTCTAAATATGGATCATTTATGATTGATGAACGGCCGGGAGAGCAATGGACTAGACTTGAAAGGAAATTTGGAGAGAATGAAGAGATCAAAATTGATGTAACCATGTTTGATGGATTTGTTCCAGTGAACAAAGGAGGCGATGCTTCAAAAGAACATGAAGTGTATCTTCATGCTACAATGGTTATTGATATCTTTAAGGGAGAAGGCAATGGTGTGCTAGAGTTTGTTTGCTTTGCATGGCCTAACAGCGTTGAGATCCGTAAAGTTATAATGCACGGGCATGGTCCAGCTGCATCTCCGATTTACACCGGCCCCCACTTTAAGTATGCATCCTCCATACAATCTACTTTTTAACTTCCTAAAGTCTCTTATCTTCTATATATTCCCACCGTGGATTTATGTCAAACTTGAACTATTTCTCTTACCACTTTTCTCTGTTATGGTCTTTTTAATTAATTTAGTTTTTACCCCGTAGTAATAAATAATTAGACATGGCATGGGATTATGATCTAATTGCGGTTTCGTTGTTTGTATTTGCAAGGGAACTAGATGATAAGCTGCAAGATGAACTCTATAATTTTCTAGAGACAAGGGGAATCGATGATGATATGGGTGAGTTCTTACATCAGTACATAAGGAACAAAGCCAAAATTGAGTACATCCGTTGGATGGGAAAGGCAAAATCTTTCATAGAAATGAAATAGGGAAGGTAAATATTTGCATTCCCATATGCTTATTTTTGATAGGGAAAACCGTACACATCCGGTCTTCTAAAATCACGCACGGAGTAGAAACAAAGCCGATGAAAGCAATGTCCCCAAATTTTCTTCGTGTGCTGAGAATCATCAATCTTAGCTTTTCCGAAATTTGTTGAGGACTTCTGAACCCCGGAATTGATCAACTATTTAGTTGTCTTAGTTGCTATATCTTTCAACACTCTATCATCATATTGCATCTATGTTTTTCATAACTATGGAAGAGGCCATGCATGGAGTGTTGAATGTGAACATAAACTGATAGAAGGCAGTGAACATTGTGAATGCAAGATTATCCTTGCCTTCTTGGTTGTGCTATTAAGCTATGGTTCATCCTAGGCTGCTTTACATCTTTGTAGTTCTTACTCAAGCATTAGTCATTACGCGAAGGTTTTACTCCGTGCACACGGTAAGTCCAGTAGCTATAAGAGCATGTGCGTCGGCGCTCCAAACCTTTCCATGCCAGAAAAAACTTCCTCCCTTGCGTGGGGCTGCCGTTCCACCATGCATAGCATGGGATGTGCGAGGCACCTTCCTCTTTATATTTATTTTTTTAAATTTTGTTTGTAGAAGGAAGAAGATTTCATTTTGAAGTAGGAGTACATTTATTTTAATTAAAAATAATAAACAAAATAATTTTTAATAATTAAAATACATTAAAGAAGTGTAAAAAGTGACGAGAATAATGACTTGTCACTGAATAACATGTCACTTCACTCATTTGCCACACGTTGATTGGATCGTTTTTGATTGCTTGAAATGTGCCACATTTATGTGTGGTATTTCATTTTTTTACTTGTCACTGCCAAGTGCCAATGCTCTAAATATGAAAATTGGACAACTAATACTGCAAGCACAAAAATGAAAAGTGGAGAAATAAATTTGAATGGAGTATGATCTTTGAAACTTGCGTGGGGTAGTTTTGGTTTTTACGGTTTGGTTTTAACTTAAAACTAAAGACGGAGTGGAATATAATTATACAGTTTGGTTTGGTTTTGCAAATCAAAATATGTACTCCGTAGTATAAACTATTGGTAATTTGGTTCGGTTTCAATTTTTTAATATTGTTTTTTAGATTTTAAAAATATACTCCGTTAATAGAGTAGTTTTTAGATGTACACTGGTATTACACATGTATTAGAAATACATGAAGTCAATAAAAAGAATAGGTATTACAAAAAGCACAACACGTCTGCTTTTTTTTCCGTACATATTTTGAAACTTTTAAAACATTACATACTTAGGGTGAGCAATATGGGATCGACAAGTGTATATGATACCAAAATTTATTTAGGTGGCAAATTGGTATAAGGAGTAATATCGTATTGTAGTCTAAGTATATGCCTTTCATACTTCTCTCTTTTCTCTTCATTATTGTTGATACACATACAAATTATTTTGAATTATAAAATTACTCGGTATAATTTATACATGCACATACAATCCATATTTCTTTCACACCAATTTTTAAATGTTACTCTCTCAAAAATCAAACTTTTACTCTCTAGAAAAAATACTCCCTCCGTCCCCAATTAAATTGCATGTTTACTATTTACATGGTCAAACTTCACTTACTCTTTTTTCTTATTTTCGTTAGTCATTGATAAAAGAATATAGTCATGTCACCACTAGTTTTGTAAACCTTATGATGTAGTTTTTAAATATATAATTTTTCATTTTTCAACTCTACACAGTTTTTCATATAAAATAATTTGAAAATAACTTCAGTCAAACATTATAAAGTGATTATGTTGTATGAAAAGTATACAAAGTCCGTATACCCTCCACACTTGTACAAAATTTCATCGCAAAATCATTTAAATCAAAAACAGTAGGGCTAAAATCCACCATTGGTCCTTCAACTTTATGAGTTGTGCACGATTGGTCCTTTAAGTTTCAAAAGTTCATGAACAGTCCTTCAACTTTATGTGTTGTGCACAATTAGTCCTTTAAGTTTAAAAAATCTATAAGTAGTCCTTCAAGTATATGTCAACCCTCCAGATGAGGTCCTTTTGACAGTAATTATTAAAATTTAAATGGAATACTAGTTCCATATAATACAAGTAAATTCCATTAGGTATGACTGCTCTGTATTATATGGAGCTAATACTCCATTTAGCTTTTAACGTTTACCGTAAAAAAGACTTCATCTGGAGGGCTGACGTGTACTTGAAGGACTACTTATGGACTTTTTAAACTTGAAGGACCAATCGTGCACAACTCATAAAGTTGAAGGACTATTTATAGACTTTTGAAACTTGAAGGACCAATCGTGTACCACTCATAAAGTTGAAGGACCAATGGTGAAGTTTAGCCAAAACAGTAGCTCAGAGCCAAAACACAACATACAACTTTTAACAAAGCAAAAAAGCCAAATAATAACATGTTTAGAACACATTCTGCCTTAATTCATACTCGTATTCATAAGTCCTACTCACTGCACGGTATTTTTTTTCCTTTTTGTAAAAAGCAAAGTTACTATTCATTGTTAAATTCTATAACATGAATTTTCAAACCCTTTGCTGCTAGAGTTACAATGGCGTAGTCCCGTAGAGAAGATATAGAGCTGAAGAGAAACTCTAAGAATACTACTCCGTACCTGAAAATATTTCTCCTTTCTTTTTTCATGCGTCCCCAAAAGCTTTTCTCATTTTTATGTATAAATTTATATTTGCAGACAAAATTTTAATGATACGGAGTATTACATAATTATCTTACTTTTTTCTAAAACTTATGCATTTTTAAATTCCTTATATTGATTTATATATCTAAAAAAATTTAGAATTTAAATAGAATAATCTGATAGATTTAATACATATTTTTTGATATTTTAAATTTATTTAAAAGAAAATGTAAGTGTTAATGTGAATTTAAAAATTTAAAAAATCAAAGTCATAATCCGTTGGATCGATCCGATCCCAATGACACCGGGTCATGAACATAAAATTCTCAACCCGAACCCGAATTGACCCGAACTCAAAATAATCCAAACTCGAAGTGACCGAACCCGAATCGGACAGGACCTACCTATTTCCTAGCTTAAACGTCTTCAAGAAGTCTACATTTCCAGTTTCTCAACCCCCTGGCCCTACTGGCCCTATTGAAGTTCGAATTCTACTTTCCAGTTCTCCTCAACCCTAGGGTTTTCGGCATCTTTGCTACAGGTGAAATCTTCAAATCTGCCATATTCAAATTGTTATTAACCTATTATTCCTATTCGGCCAAATTATGAAAGTAATCTTGACCCTAAAATCTGCTCGGGGAGCACGTGTGCTCGTCGTGGTTGTTTTCATATCATTTGCATTTATGCATAATTAGATCAGTTCTGTATTCCCGTTATAGTTTAAATTTCTGTTACCTAGAATTCTTGGCGATATTAAAGATTCTAAATTTAACCAGTTGCAGAAAAAAACAGTAGATTTCGTTTGGGTTGTATGGGTGCCATGCCTTCTCAGTGGTTCCTTTTAGCATGAACCCTAGGTGCATATAATAATGCGTGAACCTTTCACATTAATAATTGAATAAAAATAAATTAAACAAATGTTTTTTACGACACTTGAAAATGCTAACTCCATATATAATATTTAGAAGGTCCCTGAATTTTAATTGGGATTTTTGTCCACCTAAGAATTTACCAATCCCAATAGGTACCGCTAATCTACATAAACTAAGGATCGATTTGGTATTACGTTTATTAAGTGCTTAACTCTGAATTAAAAGTGTTGATCTGTGTTTTGTAGGGTGAATGTGTAGATATTTCGTAATGATTGTTGTGAGAATGTTTTTTATTAGATATGGAGTAAGTAATGTATTACTATTGTGAAAAAGAAACCATCTGCTTTATAATTCTAGAATTCAAGCTGCAACATCATATTTTACCAAACAAAAGCAGAGTAGATTAAAATTCCAATCAGTCCCAAACTGACCCCATATGTGGTAGCCATGAACTAGAGAACTTTTCTAATTTATAAGATTCTGCAAATTGAACCATGCATAGGTGAAGGGAATGCATGCTTAGTCCACCTGGTTGTGGAACTTCTGGAGGAATTCATCTTTTTGGAAACGAAAGAAAAAAGAAAGCGGTAAATTTGCATGGTGAAATGGGGGTGTGTGTATTTTATGAGAATGAATCAGTTTCCTTTTTGGAGAATGTCATTCTGATCGGTTTATCTTGGTAGAACTATTCCATTCTCTTCCAAGTTAAAAAAAATTCGCGAGCCAGATGTAAATGTGATTGTGTACCAAGTGATTTCCCAGTTCATTAGATTCTTAGCCAATCGTGAAATGAAATGTGAAGAAAACAAATTAGTAAAGATATACTCTGTACGTTTTTGGGGTGTTATGAGCATAAATGCAATTTTCATGTATTTGACAAGGAAACACGTTCTGTACTGTGTATTTGAGTTTGGTATTAATAAATTTTATAGGCCTTGATGTTATGTGATAAGAGGAAAAGATGATCTTTGCCAATCAACTCTTATTTTTAATATTGCATCCTGCAGGAATGATAAGACTTAAGAGGAATATACTCTATCTAACATACCAGCTCTAAGTTATCATTTTGACAGTTGCCATAGGTCCTTGAAATCTTTTTTGGGTGATCTGCTTTTCAGGGAAATCTTCCAACTTGACATCACCCTAGCCATGGATTTCAGCGGTGACGAGGAGCAATGTAGTGCCCTAGCCCTGAGGCTTTTTTATAGTGAACATGATGGCAACTGCTCTGCAGAAGATCTAGAATGGGCTGATTCCTGCCTAAGTCCGAATCATGAACTATCCACGGGCGGCTTGGATTTGTTCAGAAACTCCTTTGCCTCGTTAGGGATTCATCAGGGTTCAAAACAGGAGTCTTCTATGGATGAGAATGGTGAATTTTGTCCAGCGGATGACAGGAACATGTTTGTCCATAGTGGAAAAGGAAGAGGCTCACCATTGCTACGTTTGATAACCGCATCTGATGATCTAACAAATGAACAGGATATGGGGAACAGGATTGATTATGATCCGAGCAGTGTGACTACTGATACTCCCAACTCAAAATTCAACTTGGAGAACGTTTTCCTTCCCACGTACAATGAAAACCAGAGAGCAATTGTAACTGCCGACCCAGAGCTAGATTCGATCTTTCCAGCATTTTTTATGGAGGACCAACCCGCTGATAACATATTTAAGGTCTGGGAAATAGACATTCCAGATGAAGAAGATGAACTCATTGGACATGTGAAAAAAGCCTTAGCTGAGTGCTCCTCAGAGCCTGAAGGTTCTGTCCCTGAAGGTTCCGAAATGTCAGTAGGATTGAATGATCGGTTTCTTGATGATCTTATTTTACGATTTGATGACATGTCTTTGAGCTGGTAGTCCAGCCGAATGCGATGTTCTAATGGGCTGTATTACGTAATTTCTTCCATTCTCTGTTATGTTTTTGTCGCATATTCCTACATTTGGTCTAGGTTTTGTGTCTAGAGGACATTTGATGTTTGTGTACATGTTTTTTCTATGATTTATAGAAGCTCTTTCAGGGTTAATGTGAATAGCTCTGAAGTTGGAGGGATTGAAGTAGCTTGGTCCACAGGTGAATTGCCAAGCTTACTAATACTCCAACTCGTGGCTTTTCTTTTACTGTCAATGAGCCTGCATGGGTAGCTGAATTAGTTAAAGAGAGGATGTCAAGCCCATAGATCCTGGGGTCGAATTCCGGCAGCGGTGATGTTGGAGTTTTACTCTTTTTAATAACTCCTTGTGCGCACCGGGCACGAGATGACCTCTCTAGGACTAAGTTAAGATTATACCATGATACCTTCTCACTATCCCGTCGGGCCGGGGCGTGAGGCACTCGGTGTGGGCGTTCCATTTTTTTTTTGCTGTCAATGAGTTATCGATTTCTATCAATCATTAGTTCATTGAGAAACGTTTACGATTAAGGAGCATAGGTTTCTATCACATCATCATTACTTAATGATACCCCGTCTAGAAAGTTCTAGGTGAGCACATAGTCTTAAGGATAGCATATGGGTTTTTAATTTTGGTATTACTCCGTATAACATATGGTTTTTGGTTATCATAAAACTAGTAAATTTTGTTTTTGGCTTTTCTAATTTTATTTTTAATAAGTATATTCTTGTAAAATGAAAATTGGCAAATAGTTTTCCCCCAATCTAGAGCTAATCTACTATATATATAAAAGCTGATGGAAAAATCAGTTCAATTTAGCTCATATCCGACGGTCCAATTTCATTTGCCATCTGCAAATCTAGCCGTCAATTCCTAAGGCCAATGTTCGAACTCCATGTCAAAAGACATTTGCGGTTGTGCGCCTTACCCTAATTGCTGTTTCCGTATGAATTCCATCTTCTCCGCCCAGCATCTCTGCATCTCTTCCATCTCTTAGATAATACTCGACACACCCTATCTCGACACCAGTCGTTTGTCGATGAAGGTCTCAACGAGAGGCTCATGCAATCCAGCGATGGCAATTTGATTTGGGAATACAAATCATGGGTATTGAAATCAGGTGGATATCTCACAACACCGTCAATAGGAGGTCAACTGCCGACCTCAATTGGTATCCTGCTCCCCTGACAACAACGGATGCAGATCTTTTAACCGAG